GATGAACTGCAGGATTTTGCACTTCCTCTTGATACCACGTGACGACGGCTATAGGGTCCAAAGGTTGTGATTATTAAACTTTTCATGGCATTGAGTCAGCGTGCTGACTCGTCTTCTGCAGCTACGTGATGTGCATGTAACTACGCCTCTATGGAAGTTATTAAACAACACCACAGGATTCATTAGCTGCTTCTGCTGCACACCAGTGGGTTAAAAATAATGGACATGGATTTAACTCAGGCAAAATTGTGAAATGAACGCTCATACAGCTATAATTCTGACAGTGAATAGCCTGGAAAAGAGACAGTGAAAGGCCCAGAACGCTGCAGAGTAGCATTTCATGTGAAAAATATGCAGATAGTGCACGAGAAGAGGATGTTATTGGGTAAATTATATAAACAAGACAAGATATGGAAGTCATTGAGGAGGCTCACTAATGAGCATATTGCTCAATGGAAGCATAAAAATTGCATAAACAAAGGTACAAATCTCAGAAGCATGGCTAATGAAGACAGCTCATGCAGTGTGAAGACAAGCTAATAGAGCAGAAGCAACAAATCAGATGAAACACTTGTCATAACAGACTGGGGGACAAAAGAAAAACAAACAGATTGCATGTGGATTAGAAGAAGCAAGTTTGCAAAGTTGAAGGGAAATGTAACAGTGTAGCCGTTCATCTTTGAAGGCTGAGTCGGGATTAGTTAGTAAGTCTGCAGGGTCTCCACTGACTCTACTCCTAATGCCGTGTGTGTGTGCTCTCCTGTCCCGTCCACCAGGGGGCATCATGTCCAGCTTCCTGATGGGCTGCTACGACCCGCACTCCAAGAAGTGGTGCACGGTAACAAAGTGCTCCGGGGGCTACGATGACGCCATGTTGGCTCGTCTCCAGAAAGAGCTGGATATGATCAAAATCAGCAAGGTCAGAGAGGATCCACTTAGCGGCCTGCCTGGAATATTGAGCTGATGTAATAAAGTCCAGAATTAATCTTTGTGTCTGGTGTGTGTCTCTCTCTCTCTCTCTCTCTCTCTCTCTCTCTCTCTCTCTCTCTCTCTCTCTCTCTGTCTCTCTCTCTCTCTCTCTGTCTCTCTCTCTCTCTCTCTCTCTCTCTCTCTCTCTCTCTCTCTCTCTCTCTCTCTCTCTCTCTCTCTCTCTCTGTCTCTCGCTCTCTGGTCTCTCTCTCTCGCTCCTCTCTCTCTGTCTCTCTCTCTGTCTCTCTCTCTCTGTCTCTCTCTCTGTCTCGCTCTCTGTCTCTCTCTCTCTCTGGTCTCTCTCTCTCTCTCTCTCTCTCTCTCTCTCTCTGTCTCTCTCTCTCTCTCTCTCTCTGTCTCTCTCTCTTTGTGTAGGACCCGGGCAAAATCCCAGGCTGGCTGAAAATCATCAAGAACTATTATCCAGATTTCCTTATTCGTGATCCTGAGGTGAGATCTTACTCTTCAGATAACGTCGTGGATCTTTAGTAATTAGTTAGAAGCATATGTCTCCTGCAGGAAAATATCTGAATACATTGCTCTCTAATGTATTGAGATAATGAGCAGCCACGCTGCAGAGCTGGGAGGTGTTTCCTACCTACATATTTACTAGAAAATAGTACTAGGAAAACATTTGATTGAAATGACCCTTTCCTGCCTTTTTATATCGGGGAATAGAACTCTGTAATGAAATCTACTGACAGTAATACTCGAGGCTTTTTTCCCCCCTCACATATGAAGTTAGATTTGCCTCTTTTTTTTTTTCATGTGGAAGCAGTCGTATATTTGCCGTGTTCCTTTATTATGTTTCCTCTGCTGCAGCAAGCACCGGTCTGGGAGATCACAGGAGCAGAGTTTTCTAAATCAGAGATGCACACCGCTGATGGCATCTCCATCCGCTTCCCTCGCATGACCCGCATCCGTGATGACAAGGACTGGAAGACGGCCACTAACCTGCCCCAGCTGAAAGTAGGATATCAGCATTATGATTGAAGTACACATGGCGGCGTAGTCTGAAAGTGCATCGGTGTTAAACACATTTAGTCTCTTTGTAGAGCAGGAAAACATTATTAGACATTTTACAGAATAAGTTTGTGTTTCCACTTCCTTTTTTTATGATACATATTCCAATACCTAGTCTGGTTGTCCAACTTCGATTACACATCTATAACTCACCCTGCATGGAGGTGATATCATGAGCATAATTCATGTGAGCCCCGGCTTCGTTCAGAGTAGGAGTCCATTAAATGTCACACTTTAGCACCTCTGTAACCAAAACAAAACTCCCTCAGCACACCGCCTCCCCTCCTCCCCTCCTCCCCTCCTCCCCAACCTTTAGGACTCTTTCAGCTCTTATTTATTTTATGTATTTAATGAACAAATTATTGTTCTGGTTTGTAAAGTCTGTTGATTCTTCTTCAGTTGTCCTCTTGCGACAACACTCTGTTGTTATTCCTCTAAAAACAGCGTCCCTGAGTAGGCGGGGCCGTGTCTCTTCCCCCCATATGGCGACAGGAATAACTAAGTGTGAACACAGAGCTGAGAACAACAAACCCGGAGGGAGTTTGACTTCACAGTTTTCTTCCAAAATCATTACTAAACGATACATCCACTTAGGATGAGGTTTAAAATCTCACATTTATACGTCTTTAAGCTTAAAATAAGCAGAGCAGGGGCGCCGGTAGCTGAGTGGTTAGCGCGGCTACAGTCCTCCAAAGTGGACGGCCCGGGTTTGAATCCGACCTGTGGCTCCTTTCCGGCATGTCAGTCTCCTTTCTGTCTCTCCCCGGTTTCTGACTCACTGTCCTATCTCTAAATGAAGGCCAAAAAAACAAGCAGAAAAAACTGAAAATAAATAAGCTGACTTAAAAAGCATCAACAGTCAAACAACAACAGACAAACAGAGAGAAGTGTACACACAGCGAAGAATCAAATGCAAACACAACAGACAAACAGAACAGTTGAATCAATGAATAAAAGCTATAAAAGAAGAAGAAGGTGATACTGAATGTCCAATGTGTTTGTGCTGGGATTTTTCGACCCTTATTAAACTTTCCAACCTGAGTGATGGAAGCCGGGTGAGAAAGGACAATATGATAAAGGTGCGGGGCGGAGTGAAATAATGAAACCTGCTGCTGAACAAAGCTCCTCTGTCACTGCAGAAGTTAAGTGATTTAAAAGACGAGGAGCTTATTAGCAGGCCGAGTAATCCTCCCAACAACCGAGGAACGAGTTGAAATATTGTCCGAGGCAATAAAAAAACCTGTCTGCTCTGAGGTGAAGCAGCCCGGGCTCTTCAATCTCCTCTGACACAGGACATTACGTCTCTCAGCTGAAGCCTGTGCTGTCATGTCGTCTCCTCTGCTCAGGAGCTCTACCGCATCTCAAAGGAGAACTGTGACTTTAAAGTGACAGCCGGACCGTCGACGTCCAACGACGACTCCAAGGGCTCATCAGGAGGAGACAGCGGAGGAAACTCACCGCCAGCCTCGTCACGGGGAGGAGCAACAGCCAAGAGGGCCAGTGAGTACCACCGAACGCCAGCAGCAGCGAGGGAATGGGAGAACCGCTTTACATTCAGACCCGTTAAAGGTCACATTGTGCAAAACACACTTCACCGTGTTTTTCCCACGCTAATATGTGCCCCTAGTCCGTCTTCAAACCCCCCAATCATGAGAGGGCCATCCTCTCCGTCTTTCCCCTGCTCCACTTTTCAGAAAATGTGTGCTCAAACAGCCCGCTTGGAGATTTTCCCTTCATGACATCACAAAGGGCAAACAATAGGACATGGAGCGAGAAAGACCGAGTACACCTGAGCCCTTCCAGAGAGGGGGCGTGGTTACATATTTACATATTTAAAGGTACAGACACAGAAACAGCCTGTTCTGAGCAGGGCTGAAATAGAGGAGTTTATAGTGAGTTTTTTCTCCTGCTTAAATGAAACAGAAACATTTTATCGGTTTAGCTATGGCCATATATCCTCGTCCTCATCACACTCATAGGTCTTAAAGTTGGTTTCAGGACGAACACGGATTCACTAAAATGTAGAATGTATGAAAAAAAACAGGAACCTAGTTTGATCCAACTGCATGCTGCAAACATTTTTTCAATGATTTTGTGATCATCAACTACCTGCTCTCTCTTCCCAGGCAGCAGCAGCAGAAGCACACCCAAACCAAAGGTGGTGAAATCAGAGCCTTACAGTCCACCAAAACCAAAGGTGGTGAAATCAGAGCCTTGCACTCCTCCCAAACCAAAGGTGGTCAAGTCAGAGCCTCGCAGTCCGGGCTCTGAAGGACCCAGTGCCAAGAAGGTATGTTATTAAGTGAAGTGCCCGCAGTGTGTTCACACCGCTGATGTAACCTCCTGCATCAGTACAGACATCCTGGATGAGCCGACTGAAGCTGCACAGATTGATCTTTATGAACTGATGTCTGTTTTCCTACCAGGTGAAGAAGAGTGAAAGTGTTCACAGTAACGGACAGAGCAAAGCAAAGGCCACCTCGCAGCTGATGGAGCCCAGCAAAGACAAGGTGGGTCAACAAACACTTTCTCCATTTCCTACATGTCGTTTTAGGTAAACAGGCTCAGAGAAGATGTTTGTGGGTTGAAGGGTTAAAGTCCTGGAAAAGGATGATCATGTTTAATGTTTAAACATAATCACAGAAGAGTCACCTTTCTCACATTCTCAGAAATGACTCTGGTATCAAAATCGAGTGATTCTAAATATATTTTCAGTTTCAGATGGACAATTTATTTTGAAAGCATTCATTGCAAAAATATTTTAATGCGCTCTCAGTGACCCCTAGTGGACAGTCAGAGCGTGGGGGGGAGTGGCAATTTGCCTACGCCAGCTTAAACTTGTAATGTATCCGCTGTGGCTAAAAAAAAGAACTAACACAGTTAAAACGATGTAACCAACACTTCAAAAAATCAATATAAATTTTGAATGTTATTTCAAACAAAAAGGGCATTTTGTGAGAAGTATTGTCACTAAATACAAATTAAAAACACTGTCTGCCACTTTTTTATAGAAAATCACATTTATTCATGAATTGACTTCAATCTCGTGCCTTTATAGAAATCATGAAACATGTCATATTGTGAGTCGAGTATCGTTACATCCCTACTAAAACGAAAAAAGATGAATGGATTTGCACTCCAATATATCAACAGTACAAATTCTATCAGTCACTAAATGAGTTAGAAACATGACATCGTCTGTTGGATCAGTGAGGTCAGCAGGTTTGATCATTCTCGTTTATCTCTCTGTGTAGACGCTGCTGGACATCTTCAGCGGGGTGAAGCTCTTCCTGCCCGTCTCCGTGCAGGACTTCGACAAACTGAGGCGCTACTTCGTGGCGTACGACGGAGACCTGGTCGCCGACTACGACGCCGCCTCAGCCACGCACACGCTGGCGGCCGAGCCCGCCGACAGCCAGGCTCACAAAGTCTCGCCCAGCTGGATCTGGGAGTGCATCCGCAAGAGGCGCGTCGTTCCTCCCTGTTAATAATAAAAAAAACAAGAAGATGGCGTTAGCGGTCTGCACAACGGGACTCTAAAGAACATGGTCGACTCTTCTGGAGACACAGTCCAGATGTTGACACTTTTTTTAAAACCGAGCTGTGGAGATTTCTGACAGTATTTCCTGGTTTCAGCTGATCTCAGGACATTTTTTTATTTATTCCACACCGACCTTTTCCTTTGAACACCAACAGTAAACATTTAGTTTCAAGTTGTTTTGTGTTTTTACCACTTTGAGGTAACTTTGGAGGATCATGAAAATGTGGGATTGGATACTAATTATCTGAATACTAATGGAAAAAGAGGGAGGGGCTACTTCAGCGTACAGAAGTGGACTGTAGACTTAGATTATTGTAGTGACATAAATCATGAAAAAGCATTTCAAAAAGAAATCATGCAGCTTCCGGTTCCAGACGTGAAGCAGAACAAGCCGGGGCTCCATCAGCATTTCTTTTTTTTTTTTTACTGCCTTTGTTAAACATTCAGCGAGGTATTAAAGCCCCGCTCATGAACTGAGGAAAAAACCAAATGTGTCTGCCATTAGAAATAAACAAAACACTGAAAGACAATAAAAACGTCTCTGTATCATCGCTCCGTTTTGCTAATTGTGTTTGCCCATAAATGCAGCTCCTTGCAGACGCAGGAGGTCTTAAAGGTTTACTGGATTCAAAAACCAAGATCATATCACAGCTTTGCCCCCTTAAACTAAAATACATGAGACTGTCCAAACCAACGAGGTGCTGAAAGGCTTTCATCGCAGCCTCCTGCCTCTGAATGGCTTTCGAGGATAATTCAGATTTTGGCTCCTTATCCCGCGGATACTGGAGCTATGAGGTGGCTTAATTAAATGTTTGAATGACTGTGTGAATAACTCGGTGCTCTGAGGGGGCAAAAGGCTTCATGAACCCGCCGTGCTGCTGCCTGAAGGATGAAAAAAAAAAAATCACAAGAGGAAGGTCCCTTTCTTTGCCTCCTGCAGCAGAGTATTAAAAGAGCGGCTCAAAGGAAGTCTTCTGCTCCTGTCGAGTTCAGCGCTCTCAAAGTTTCATCTAATTGAAATAAACTGAAAAATAACTTATGATTGGAGCTTTTTTGGTAACTTTAAAATACTTTTTGGTGTTATGTCTCCGATTTAACCACCAGGGGGCTCTCAATCAAAACAATAACAAAAGATGACGTCGAGGCTGTCAGGGAATCATGGGAGTTCTCTCTGCTACTCCACCCCCGATGAAAACAAACTGCGTGTTGACCGTAGTCATGACGACCGGGGTAAACCGGCCTGAATATGTTTACAGACGAGCTAATGTATCCGAGTATAATTTCCATGACGTTTTTATCACAGCAGCTCATACAGCAACAGTACGGCGTGTTTCCATGACAACGATAAAAATGTCTCTTTCATGGCGTCTGCAACTCTCAAATGACAAATTTCTCTGGCTTTGATAACTGATGTAAATATTAGAGTTTATGTAACTCAACAAAACATATAGAACAGGTTTAGTCCATTTTACATTTATTTAGATATTTTAGTGTAAACATTGTCATAAAATTTTACATATTGTTCGTTTAAGTCTGCTGTGATATTTGCTCCAATGGCTGCAGCTTAATCGTGGCGTGCGTTCACTCTAAAAGAGCTTGACACACACTTTTTGTGCAGAACGGTCCAGAAACTTGCACGTACCTGTGATGAGACATTTAGGGCAGAGGATCAGGAATCAGTCTCATCCAGTTTTCTCTTCCCTGACGACGAAGCTTCTTGTGAGCGGCTCCACCACTGCAGGTTTAACTCCTCTTTGATGGGACACGGCTGAGAAGCAGAGCAGATGGAAAGAGCTGATTTACTAATTTAAAAAGAAATACACAAACAGGACTCGTCTGCAATCTAATTCACTCATTCTGAATGTGCTTCGTTCCATCAGGAGGACGACTTCTTTAATTCCTGAACAGACAATGTAGAATTAATGCCCGACTGTATTCATCAGAAGACGGGGAGAATAGTTTAGAGCTACAGCAGAAGTGATTTCCTGTTGTCAGTAATAAAACCCCCTTAGAGTCCACTCATGTATTTATTCACACAGCAGCAGCAGCAGCCTCTATTGTCTGTTGATCTGCAGCTCCGTCTTTTCTTTCAGACTCTTCAGAGACATGAGAAACTAAAAGACAGTGAAGTAAAGAGCACAGTTTAGACTTCTTTATATCATGATCATTTGAAGAAATCGCAGCTCGATGGTCTGAATATTCAAGCACATAAAACAGGCAATTTAGAGTCAGCAGTTAACCCGACGAGCATGTCTTTGGACTGTGGGAGGAAGCCGGAGCACCCGGGGAGAACATGCAGACTCCACACAGAGAGGCTCCTGTCAGACGGGGATTCAAACCAGGAACCTCCTCACAGAGAGGGGACACCGTGCAGTCCTGAAGTCTGAAATTAATGCATTCATCTTTTTTTAAAATTACAATTAATCTCATGCTATTTTGTCCCTTCAGGCTCACCGTAGTGAAGCCTCCTCAGTGTCTCCCTGTAGTCTCAGTGATGTAAAAGAAGGACACTGCTGCATCAGCTGACGAGCCCAAAGTAATATCCACCTAATGACATCACACATTGACCTTATGACATCACACATTGACCTTTGTTACTGTTCCTTTGAGATGTTTAACCTCACTTTGGGATCCCTAATCACTTCCTGTCCTAACCTTTCATCTACAGAAAGGGCCTTACTTTATTTCAAAATAAAAGCACGGTTGAATTCAAACAGCAAGTAAAGTATCCTCAGCTTGAGACGGTACACACTTTCAAAATAAAAGCCTAAAAAAAACGATATTATATTTCAAACATGTGATTAATCACAATCAAAAATGTAATTGTTTTGATTTAAAACATCTGATTTAAACTTCCTGTCTGTACTTTGTCGATCCACGTGAACAGTAACATGTCGACTTTTTATGACTCCAGAGAAAACTTAAAAGTCCAGCACTTATAAAATATTTGTTGAGAACTTTGAACAGGAATAAAAAAAAGTCATCAGAAGAAGAAGAGACTAACTCAGAAGACTTCCATGATCACTAATTACCCTCGTAGTCAGAAACGGGCGCCATGAAGGCGACTGTGATGAACCAACTTCACTCACAAGAACTCAAGAACTCAAGATCTGAAGTTTCTAAGTGTTCGTGTCAGATTTATTTACTTGTAGTTGTGTTTTGTCAGATGTTAAAAACGTCCACGTGACACTGCGATGAAACGTCTTTAATCAAATGGTCGTCAGTCACAGACCGTCTCTGTCTGTTTGTTCATCTATCGAGCTTCAGGGTGATTTTAAATTAAATTAACAGCTTATATCTAAATCTGTTTCAGAGCAAACAAACATCAAAGCGTCTATTTTAACAAGTCGTTTGACACTCGCCTTCAGTCATTTGACGGAATCGAGCCGGGTGCCGTGCGAGGCGGTGCAGCGTGCCGTACCTGTCTGGAGGACTTGATCAGGGTCGCGGAGCGCAGGCCGGAGGGGCTGAACACCGCAGACTTCTCCACCCGCTCCAGCAGGATTCTGGTTCTGGGGATGTGACTCCAGGACACGCCGAGGCCCGGCTGCACCTCCCCGCTGGCGCTCCTCGTGACATGGTTTGTGACCTGCGGGGCCCAGACAGCGGCGTGCTTGATTTTCCTCTCAGAGGGGTTGTAAGTATGAGAGAGCACGTCTTTATTTAGTTTCATGGTTTAATGGAGCCGGAAAGGAGACGCGGCTTAGAAGAAAGAAGAATAAATAAGTGTGACAGCGAGATTGTTTTTAATCACCGCCGAGCGCTAAACAAACGATCTTTATCTCCCTCAGATAACTTTCTGATTAGAGGTGAAGCCACGTTTTCTTTGGCTGTTTAATGAGATAAGTTCATGTTTTACATAATGACATCCTGCAGTCACACACAGAGACCTTTAACACTTTGAGTTTGTGTGATTTGTTTTCAGAACAAAACAAGACAATTTTTTTAAAAAGAATCTGAGTATTGTTTACGTTTCTCACCAGGTCTCAAGAGTTAGTGTGCGAGGGGTTTGTGCAGATATGTAACTGACAGCGGGAGATGCATCTTGTATTTAAAGCAGTGCACGTCAAACACGGTGTCATCCTTACCAAAGCGGCGATGTTGAAGTCCTTCGCCATCGTCTTCAGCACTCCTGCCACTTGTATCATCAAGGACATGCCTGCAGGGCACAGCGGCGTTACAGAGAGATCGTGGATGGAATAATCTGAATGCTTCTTAATAAGTCAACGGTAAGTAAGTGGAGCTACAGAGGACTGTTGTGATGTTTACAGGTCTTTAATATTCCGGGGCTCGACTAAAGGCACTCAACAGTGGAGCTCCAGGGAACACAATGTCAGTCAGTCCTTGACTTTGGTACACAGTGTAAATAATATTAGACAGTCAAGAGCCACTCATGGACCCCACAGGATGAGTACAAATAACTTTGCAGTAAACAATCCTCAGTATTTTACTCGATGTTACATTTTGATTTAAAGATCATATATTCTCCTCCTCTTCAGTGTAAATAAGTCTCAGAGCTCCTCAAAACATGTGTGTGAAGTTTCTTGTTCTAAATCCACTCTGATCCTGTATTTGATCATGTCTATAAACCCCTCTATTTCAGCCCTGCTCAGAACAGGCTGTTTCTGAGTCTGTACCTTTAAATATGTAAATGAGCTGTGTCTGACCACGCCCCCTCTCTGGAAGGGCTTGGGTGTACTCGGTCTTTCTCGCTCCATGTCCTATTGTTTACAGTGAGAAGGCAGACTGAGAGGGCAGAACAAACACCTAGCTGTGGGAGTGTCACCCACCTGGGGGGAGGGGCTACTGCCCTTTGTGATGTCATGAAGGGAAAATCTCCAAATGACCTGTTTGAGCACACATTTTCTGAAAAGTGGAGCAGGGAGAAGACGAAGAGGATGGACTTTTCTCATGATTGGGGGGTTTGTAGATGGACTCATTAGTGTTAGAGGAACATGGAGAAGTGGATTTAATAATTTGTGACCTTTAATCGATTTTAGTTTCAATGATTGCTGGCATAGACGACAGCGATGGAGAACTGGAGGTCGCTATGAGACAGCGCCCTCTAGGGGATGTGCATCTAGCATCTATATTCAAACATAAGGGAAGCAGAGATGAACCTTTAACAGCTCTATTTATAACAGCTGTGAGAATCTTGAAATGTGATGTTTTGAGGTTCCACCTGACAGTTTCTTATGACTTGAATTAACTCAGATGTCATCCTTCCAAAAAGAACGGGGAACTCTTGTTGTGACACTTGTTTCTTTTGCAGATTCCAGACATACACTCGGAGTATCTGGGCTCAGGTGTAAACAACAGCTGCGGGGCGTGATGGACTTTTTGACGGACTAGCAGAAAGAGATATCACCTTCGTTCTGTTTGCCTCCCAGTAGAGGCGAGATAACAGCCGACACCGAGTCCACGATCACCGCCTTGACAGATCCACCGCCGACGGACGTCTAATGCACACAAAAATGTGACAAAATTAGATTAGCTCAAATTTAGATCTGTCCCTCACACAGGTTCCCCGGGGTACAGCGCAGTGTTTGGGATATTTGAAGAAGAAAAAGAAAAGAGGACGCCAAAACAAAACCTGCTGGAGACCGCCACCGCGAAGACCGTACAGACAGTCGAGCAAAGCGTAGACATCAAACAAGCGGGAGACGTGGATCCTCTGCAGCGCTTCCATCTGTGGAATGGAGTTACACGGTTCTTATGTCACACATCATGTTTTATATATATATATATATATACACATCTCGCTGCCTGACAACTCACCTGCTCCTGAGTGTTACTCGTTTCAGTTTGTAGCATTTGGAGCAAGCGGCCGGCGCAGAATCCTCCCGTCGTATCGATGAATATCACACTCTGTTTCAGGTGGAAGGAAATGTGCGCAGCGACAGCGAAACACACCTGCAAGACGAGAGACGAGCGTGCAGGAAGAAGTCAGAGAAAAGTAACAGTAACTCAAAAAGTAAGAGTAAAAAGTTTGACTTCAGCCAGAGAGTAATTTCCTATCCTATGAAGAGAAGAGCTTATTATAATGACGGGGGGGGGGGTGGGTTATGAGGATGAAATGATCAGCGATGGAGCGGGAAGAGAGGTAATGTTTACCTGAGATTTTCCACTTCCTGGTCCTCCCGACAGCTCTGTTATCTCTCCAGTATAAACGCCTGAATCCAGCAGTTTATCTAAGCTGCAAAAATACAAAAAAAAAAAAAAAAAAAAAAAATGGTGCTATTCATTACTCACAGCTGCCATCCCGTGTCATAATTTTTTCTGTAGATGTTTTATCGTTTCTCATCGAGATCGGCCTGCGATGTGTCTGTCACTCTGAATCTGTCAACATACACCAGGCTGCGGATGAAGCTCAGAGTGTGTGTTGAAGTCTGCAGGGTTTGTCTGCTGTGGTGCCAATTCAAACTCATTCTCAACAGAGGCTGCAGTGAAACACTTTACATTCATACGTTTACGGTGTTTTCATGTTTATATTCCAGCATCCGGTCAAACCACATGCTGTCTGTTCAAATTGAAAAACAACAGAATCCAGGATGGAGACAGGACGTTATGATCTCAGAATATGTTTTTTTTACCTTATCCTAAAGTCGTCCACACAAGATCCTGCATCTTATCCTAATATAAATCAAGTATCTCTGAAAATAACTCTGTGAGTCATGACTGTCTACAATGGGTGTAACACCCGAGTCCCACTGTCTGTGATGTTTTCAGAGTTTTCAGAGTCCTATCTTCAGTTTGTTTACATCGCCAGGACGGCCGGCTGACTCCTCCCCTCGTGTATAAAAGTTGTTTAATTGAGGGACTAGAGAAAAGAAGAATAACATACTGTACTCACTGCTTAACTGTGTTTCTAGATCACGATCATTTCAGGTAAATTTACATGCAGTGTGAAGATACCAGCATGATAAAGATCACTAGCATTAGCATGCTAACACAACAATGCAGCGCAAATTGTTTTGGTTTCATGCTGGTGCTCAAGGGCGACATCTGCTGGATCAAAAAAACGCATATGAAGTCTTTAATAAGGTTCAGAGTTGTAAACATTAGTCCCAGAAGAGAAGAGATGCTTTGTACCAGATTTAGCTAACTAGCTTATTTCCATGTGTAGTCCCCGAGCGGATGATGACCAGGGACACACTTCATAAGAGAGAAGAAGAAACATCGGCAGGATCTTCAACCAGCCGTCGTCAGAGGACTTAAGAGGAACATATCGTTTGAATTTGAAAAGGTCTGGAAAAGTTACAAACTAAGATGAACAGATTAAGAAGATCTGGTCAGTCTAACGTTCAAAAGAATCCTCTGAGTGTGTTCTCACTTTAACTCCACTGACCGACCACTTACTGTTAAATCCTCCACTTTGTATTACTTCCTGTCTTCCGGTGTGATACACGGAGGACGCTCTTCTAAACGACATCATCTGCAAATCTGTCTGAAGAAGAACTGCCCGGAGCTACAGCAGGAACATTCAGAGACGATTCTGAAACTATCTTTAGCCGCAGGGATGTGCCGAGTGAAGCACGGTCTGTTCTTCACATTTCCAACCTTGTCAGTCTTGTCATGGCTTCTTTGTAGCTGCGTAGGTAAATCTTCCCCTGAACTCGTACCTTTACACACCCCGGGCTGTTTATACAAGACATCCTGCACCTTTTATGTGTTCTCGCTCGCTCGCTCGCTGCAGGAGACTCGGACAGTAAATCAGCAGAGGTCCTTTAATTTTCTGCTGAAGCGAGTGGAACAGAAACAGCACTGAAGTGTGGATCACGTTCAGAGTCAAAGGTCGTGGTTAAAAGTTTTTTAGAGCAGGCTGTCAGCGGTCAATCAAACTACCTTAACCTCACCGCGCCTAAACGACTTCATCCTGCAAACAATAGTTCAGTGGAGCTGGTGTCAGGTTAGTTTACGGCCAGCTCTGCACCACTTCATGTGGAAACACAACCGGGACAAGACGGGACCAGAGGGAGGGCAAATATCAAACATCGAGAACAAGGCCGCTTGTTTTCAGACGAGGTTGGTTTTAAAAACTGTTTGTTCCCAAGAAAGAGTCTTAAAGTGGTTTATACAGGAGCCAGTATAAATGCTCCTGGCTAGAGGAATGATTATATTCAGCAAATATGAATATGCTATTTAGTAACTGAGAGATCAACACCACTAAAATGATAAAAAAGTGGATTCTTGGAACTTGTACAATCTGGAGGTCAGATGATAGACTGTAGAAAACATGGACGTCACCTCTGGGTTACAAAGAGTAGTTCAGAAGCTAATGAATGGCAGTTACCTTATGGAACTGTGGAACAACCTTCCTGAGGGTCTGAGAGGAGCCGAGGATATTGAGATTTTTAAACGCAGTCTTAAAACTCATTTATTCAGTCTGGCTTTTATATAGTGCTTTATATAAATTCAAATCTTAACATTATTGTATTGCCTTTTTTATCCTACTCCAATTTTAAATATTCTTCTCTTATGTATTAATTTGAATATCTTATTGCTTTTATGTGTCATATTTTCTTTTTTCATTTTTATATATACTTTTTAATTGTTATTGGTGTGCATTAGTCTCTCAATGATTTAAACATAACATGATATTTATCTCTATCTATCAATATATTCTTGACTGCTCTCATTTTAATTGTTTTTTTTTTTGTAAGTCCATTGTTGTTGGACTGAGCTTCATCTTGGAATCCAACCTAAATATGTTTTGAGTTCTGTCCCGAATATGTCCAAAGCACAAAGTACCAGAAAGCGTCAGCTGCTGATCTGCCGTCACATGTGACAGAATACAAAGTCACGCTGTCACTGCTGTTTTTCCTTCAGCACGGGAATGTTTTGATTTGTCCGTGTTGGCGCTCGAGCCAAACGATCTGTGAAGTTTATGTAATCTCATCATCTCCGCCTGCACGTGTTGATGATGGATGTGACAGCGCTGCCGTTAAATCTACATAGCCAAGGTCCCCACAGCTCGATGGGGACGCATCACTGGGAGCCTGTGGTTGGTTGATGGTGGTTTTTTTTTATCAGCCACAGCTTGATGGAGAAGAGTAGAATGGGTCGGGATGGACTTGCATGGATTACTCCTGACAGTGGGGGCAGCGTGTTGATGAAACATCAGGTTGTGCTCCTGGAAGGGCTCCGAGGGGGTGAAAGTGATTGTCCTTGAAAAAGGCCCAGATTCTGAATTTCCCCATGGGCTGCGCTCATCAGTGAGATCAGAGTATCGTGCTGTCCTTGGAAGTGAAGGTCTTCATCTGAGTGTATGATTGGAGTGGAAGCCACAAAGAGGCTCACATTTTGTTACTGAGTCTTCTGAAAATCCAATTTTCCATTTCCGGCTTTGTTTAGTTTCTCACAGACATACCGATCATAATGACGATAAAAATACAATTTATCTGCAAGAGTTTGTTGGTTGGAGTTAAGAAAGCAAAGCACAGCTTTTCAGAGACTTAGGATAAAAATCTGAGTCTGGACATTTAGTGACAGTACTTCAGTTGTCTGCAGGGATTACATTGCTGCCTGCGTCACAGCTGCAGGCCGAGCTGATCTTCTGACTCAGCATCTTTTTTTTAATACTTTTATTGCAATACATTAATGTTTAATGTTTTTTCATATACAAAGGAAACAATACATATAAATATATGCAGATTCAAAATGCATATAACAGAGCGAGCTTTGTGCCTCCTTTTTTACAAAGATATAGTCAGGTTAAGCATACTGTTTAAGAAATAAAAAAAAGAAGTAGAAAACGATTAAAAGAAAATATATAAATAAGTGTGCGTCATCTCCTGCAGATCAAAGATTGTATGCGTGTTTGCTCATAACCAAGATCTGTCTATATCATGTTTTTTAATTGTTGATTATTATATTTATTTATAATGGTTATTCATACATTAATTCATTAATTGACTCAGCATATTTTGCACCTTCTATCCATGTAGACCCTAAATGTGTAAAAATAAGACCAAGGTTTTAAAAATAGCAGAGTCAGGCTTCAACAGGGTGCTAGTTGTCGTGTCAGCTGCAGCTTACAGACGCTGAACTCCAAGGCTGAGCTGGTCACGAGAACGGCTCTGATGGAGGACTATAGCTCTCCCATTTTTCAACGAGAGGTGATCACTTCTTCACACCCACACATTTCTAAACATGAGTCCATGCATGTCATTATAATATCAGTGTGCCATTATACTGTCAACTGTTGATGTGGGCTACATGATACAGCCGCTGATGACAGCTATAAAGCCTCCTCATCATCAGCTCTGTTTGTGAGACAAAGCAGCGCTGCAGAAAGAAATCCGATGAGCTTTGTTTACCTTCTGAAGCCTCCTCCTCCTCCTGTTGGTCTTTGTGCATTTTGTTTGGTACTCTCATCGGCTAGATTCATAAATAATTCTCCTTTTTGTGTTTCCTTCTTTAGCTTTAAATGTTTTGTGTTGCCAAAGACTGTTTTCTCATCATTTAGCTAAAAACATGATCAGTGCATGTTAGAGGTATTATGAAATAATGGACTTAACCAGATAGAGAATTAGCTATAGTAGAGCTCGTGTGGAAGTACTCAAGATCGGTGTTGGTCTCGAGACCACTTTTTGAAAGTCTCGGTTTCATCTCTGAAGCATTTTTACTCGGCCGTGTCTTGGAGTCAGATTGGGTGGCCTCCAGATTTTAAATCAAGACCACCACTGACAGGTAGTTTTTCCTCGTCATCACTGTGACTAGAAGGAAAACGTCTCTTTCTGAAACATGGTATAACGTTACATCATTTGTAGTTTGATTTGTATCCCCCGGTTACGGCTGCAACCTTCCTGGTGTTGCGGTCTAAATGAGTGACACGCCCCCTGAATGCAAGAAGATTTTGAGGTTATATTTCAGGTCTTGACTCGGTCTCGCCCTGCCTTGGTCTTGGTCTTGTCTCGGTCTCTGAGCACTCTGGACTCTGGTACGTCTTGGTCTCGGTTATTTTGGTCTTGACTACAACATTTACTTTTTATTTTTTAAAGGGACCATGTACAATATTAAAAACATAAATGTTGCCATTTCATGCATTGCACCAGAGTTAGCCTTGGGCTAATTTACATCTGCAGTCCCTCGACATAAAGCAAGATATATTTTCTTCGATTTCTGATTAAATCTCAAACATTTAAAAAAATCAGAAAAACAGACTCTTAAAAATCTCTGAAGCTCGAGCAGTCTTTTCATCCTTCTCTGATTTCTGATTCACAGTGGACAAATCAAACAGCTTGAAGCAGAGAGGGTGAAGCTGAGATGCTTTCACTGAGATGTTCTGTTTATTATTTGGCCGGCGCTCTCCCTGAAGAATTACTTAGTTTTGTGTTATTTGTTAATAAATCTTCTTGTGGACTGAGAATTTGTTTAAATTGTGGTTCAACGTTGGGAGTGACGAAGGAGAGGGTCGCTTTTCTTTCCCCTCGGCTGGTCATAACAACTTTTTGTCATTGTCATGCTTTCTTATTTGTTTTTGTGAAGCCGAAGACATTTCCACACTGCAGACAAATAAAGTTCTGTTCTATTAACTTAAGTGTTTTACATTTTCAGCCAAATCTCTAAAATCAAAGAAGAGATGCACCTTTAAGAAAAAGCTAAAGACCCAGCTCTTTCATGAATACCTACTAACTTAATGATGATGGTCTCCATATTATTGATGATGATGATGGTAATGACGATGGTTTTTGTTTGATAACGATGACTTATAAGTTGGTTTCTGTACTGCGTCGCTTTGGATAAAAGCGTCTGCTAAGTGAATTGTAGAGATTTGATACAAAACAACCGAAACTTTACAAACTCACTTTTAACACTGAATCAACACCAACTCTCAAAATGTCTCAGTAACCACAGCAGGCTTCAGGAGGCTTGGACTGACAGCCTGGATGTGTTTTAGTTTGGATACCTAACAATCAGTGCAGCATTCAGTCTGTGCATGAACCACACACCATACTGAGTGTGCAAAAAAAAGTGACAGCCTGAACATTCAGCAGTTCACCTTTTCACCAGTAGAGTGCAGCCAAGATACACAAATCAAACGCAGCCTTTTCCCCGCACGGCTGAATCAGTTTCATATCACTAATCCAGAGCACTAACTAATTTATGAAACCCCACTTAAGATGAGCCACGGAGAGACAAAAAAAACACCTGTGGTGATTTATTATTCTGTAACGGGGGGGGGGGGGGGGTTAGCTGTAGAAGAAGTAGCACCGTGCTATAAATTACAACATGCTGGCTCAGATCACAGATTTGTCCAGAGCAGCATATGCAGCCCTCACTTTAGAGCCTTTTCTTTTCACACTGCAGGATATTTAACTTCAACACTTTGCTCTCTAACTACAGACTGATGCCTGAATCGTGGTATGACAGCACTCATCTCTGTGCACGCTGCACACGGGGGGTCTCATGTCTCCCGTTTGGCAGGTGGATGGACGCACCGCTGTAATGCAACGCCATGCGGGGAGCAGAGGGGATTTTAGGTTTCTCTCAAGTCATTAAATGTTTTTCGAGCACTTTGGAGAGAGAGAGAGAGAGAGAGAGAGTATTTTGGTGGAAAGTGGTCAGGCTGGAGGCCAAGTTAAGGCAGCTGATATATCAGGAGGCACTTTAGCCCGATGGAACAACAACAAGCGCAGAAGAATTCAGCTTTTTGCTGCTAAAATGTCGCACACGGGCCATTTCTAAAAAGGACGCTCTGCTGTATTTATAACCACAGCTCCCGTACTGCCAGATGCATATTCTGCCCACACGGGTCAATGCAAACTTGATTATGACAGACTGAGAAGATTTTTTAGTTTGATAGAAGTGGATCAATGCGGAGAGGAATCTGGTTGCAAAACATCTTTGGTAATGCACAAAAGTATCGACTGAACACGCGTTCTGTGTCGTCACTGTGTGCCGCTCTGCTGAGGAGCAAAGAATGAAAAATAAAACGAGAAGAAAGAAACGACTTTTAAAGCATCTGTTGCTCTTATGATGGTGGATTGAGAGCCTTTTTTTAAAATCTGATGATCCTCTCCTTTGACCTTCAAATCTCAGTCTATACCCCTAAGATGGGGGCGGAGACTAACAGTATAATACAGATCATGATAAAGGATTTACTATAGAGGGTCTGGATGTGATGTCATCCACTGAGCTGCAGAGAGCAGCCTCAGCGTTCTGACTGATTGCTGCTAAAACACAAACAACACTTCTGAAATGGGAAAGAGCTGATTGGTCTACTCAAAGCATCAGGAGGAAAAATCAGACCCGACTAAAGTCAGCGTCTTCAGTGTCATAAAGCATGGCTCTCTTTCTACTTGTTTTATTTTTTGGGGCTTTTGGCTTCATGTCGACAGGAGAGTGGACAGAGGAGGACATCCGAGGAGAGAGAGGAATGACACGCAGGTCGGACTTGAACCCGGGGCCGCCCACTTGGAGGATCACAACCTCCTTTCTACCTGGCTAATCGCTATGCTAAAGCACTTTGTGAAGCTAACCGTGTCAGGACCAGGTACTGTTCAGAGTTTTAGATTTAAATCGAGAAGCGCAGTCCTTTCATGGATTATAATCTGAGGATTTTCTCGGCCGGCAGTTTAGATCAGCAAAACTAAAATGTATAGAAACGCTTGGAATCGTTACTCTACTTTAAGGAAGTCACAGAACGAAGCCACACAGTTTCATTGGACCAAAAAAAAAGCACACACGACACACTGGAACAAATCTCTAATCAGACCTGGCTCATGCTCTATCAACGTGTCATTAGCGGTGCGGTTAGATGGTGGCTAACAGCGTATTGTAATTTGTGTTGATGCTCATGTTCTTCCAACAGCTAACGTGTCACACTGCGGCCGTATTTTAAAACAGGTTTGGAAGCATAAGCATGGATATTTGGAAAACTGTGGATGTCATTTAAATTCTCCTGACTTCACAAAACAGCTTTTTTACCCCCCCTTCTCTGAGAATGTGTTCTTATGTGTCTCAATTATTCACGAGTCCTCTTCATGATGATGAATCAGAAATTCCAGATATATGCAGAAGCATCACCATCCACTACATACTGTATGCATCGAGGTTACAGATAAACGATACCGTACGTACCCGGCTTTAAAATCAGGTCACATAAAAATGTCAGTAAACAGTAAACTTGGCTTCTGGCCGTAAGTTCAGGTGAATTGTAGGGATCTCAGTACAGCCCAGATGTCTCATATTTAGGCAGATATATTTGTCAGTTTAGTGCAGTTTTTTTTGTCATTTTCTGAACTGAAGGCAGCCATGTTGCTGGCTAACGGGGGGGGGGGGGGGGGGGGGGGGTCCTATGAGTCTGACAAAGGGGGCGTGTCCCATATCACCATGTTGTCAGATAGGCAATATATTGTGATTTCTGAGGGTGCGGTCACACTGGCCATCTGTACTGGTGCCGTACTCAAGCCAGTTGGCCCCCCGCTGTGCCATTCCCACGCTGGCCGGCACGGCCCTCAGTCACACTACACAGGACTTTAGGGTTGAAGCGTGCTTGGGCATGGTACGGATGGCCAGTGTGACCGCGCCCTGAGTCTAATTTACAAATAAAAAGATGGGTATGAAGTACAAACCACTGCATGCATGAAGTCTGAATAATATAGTTCACTTATATCAAATTGAGCAGTGAGATCTTCATTGATGTTTATCACAGGGTATGTAACATTCAACATCATATGTTTACTTTTGGTACAACCTGAGAGAAAAATAATTTAACATATATCAGGAGAAAACGAATTATTTGCATGTAAATTTTGAATGTTAAAGTATCAGGAACCAAACTACCTCTATAAATATCAGCTATAAACTAGAGACACTTCGCCTAGTAAACACATCAAGGACCTTATTGACATACAGCGGGCAGCAACAATGGACTAAACCTCTGTAGACTAAAAGAAGCATCAGCAGAAAATCACCTTTGCTTCTAAAATAAACATGCGGAGCTGCTGTCCTCAGGAATACATATTTGATTTTTTTTGAAGGTGAACCTTCCTCTCAGCTCCTGTGGCTCTGAGCCCTCCGTCAAATCCCCTCGGAGCCTGGAAGACAAAGCAGTGTGCTCTGCTGCTGCTGTGTGTGCACGATTGTCTTTACCTGGGATTTCCAGTGGAGAGGATGGCTGTTGAGCTCAATAGTTCTTCATACAGATCAGCTCCTGACACCGGGAACGCTGTGTGCTGGGCCAGCAGCACTCGACGGATAGCAAACAGAGCCTGAAATACAACAAAAAAATTGCAGCATATGATGTACGCACATTTTGCAGCATGGATCCACAACAACAACACGTGTACCTCGGGCGATGCAGCCAGATTGGATTGTTTTCTGCCCAATTGAGCCTTCGTGCAAAGTAAAAATGTTGGTTTCAATGCGAGTCGGAGGATTTGCCAAAATGACAGCCATGTTCACACTGTCTGCTACAGCTATGGCTTCCTGTATGTACTGATGATTTGATTCCTGAAGCTGGAGAAGCATAAACAGAGCAAGCAGGTTACTCACATACGTCAACAACAGCTATCCTTAATCTTCTTTGATGAGGTGGCTGCACTTAAACATTGGGACTCTACTTTCTACCTACCACTAATTGTTTTTTTCCTCCTATTAACATTTTGTCTTCATGCCTATGTAACCCTTGAAGTCTAAAGTAGGAAGAAAAAAAGCCTATTGTAAATTCTCACAGTTTACAAATCTGTGTGTATAATCAGTGCCCACATATTTACAAAAAGCTGGGCAAGGGTTATGTGCAACCTCTGCACACAGATTTGTAAACTTTGCAAACTGTGGGCACGGTTTGGTAGAAACCACAAGCACAGATTTGTAAACTGGGAACAAATTGTAAATCCGTGCGTACAGATTATGAATCTGTGCGCACGGATTAGCTAACTGTGGGCACGGTTTCCTATAAATCATGGGCACACATTTGTCAACTGGGAACAGATCGCAAATCTGTGGGTACAGATCGCAAATCTGTGCGTACAGATTGCGAATCCATGGGCACAGGTTATGAACCATGGGCACAGATTTATTTAATTGTGTAAACAGATTTACAAATGATTTACATAAACACTTTTGCTGCGTCTTTTATCTGTTTGATCTTTTTGTATTTTCTTTAACCTTAAACAAAACGTTTCCAACAGAACCAAAGATGTCTGCAACGTTTCACACACACTCCTGTGTGACTCTCCTGTGTCGAGGAAAACAACGCACACTGACCGGTGACCGCACGCTTGTGTTTTCCCTTGACTCATTACTTCCTCTGTCTTACTGTTCTACATCACTGTGCTGTACTAATCATAAAATAAAAGAAAGTGTTAGAAACAAACAAAACCTGCTTCCAGGTTCCCAAAGCCAAGGTGGCATCCATTTTTATTTTCAGCTCCAAACTTGGCACTTTATGTGTTTCAAAATTTTAATTGCAAACATGTGCACTCACCGGTGCACACTTGCATATTAATTGTCAGATTCGATGCCCCAATTAAAAAGAAGCAGTGTTGCTGCAGAACTGAGACACACAAACCCTCCTTCTGTTTACACTTTACAAAGATGAAACGTGAACATTTGACAAGAAGCAATCATTCAGTTCATTATGATGGAGTCCATATAATCATTATCCCCAAGGCAGTATTGATCTCTACAGAATAACATCCCATCTCTCATAAACTGGGTTGTCATGATACCAGAATTTTAAACTGGGATATACTTCTAAGACTCCAACGATATCGATAGCTGCTTTGATGCCATGGTAACAAAAACATACAAGTCTGAAGCCCCCAATACTGGGTAACTCCTGCACATTAACCTAAACTGCACATATACAAAGGCCACAAAATATGTACTGAAATTGTGCAGTTTAGGCAATTTAACCTCTTCTGCTGTCTGCCTGTTTGTGAGAGACATCATCGGAATGTTTGCATCTTTCTGAGACGCCAAAAGGACGGGAGGATTTGCCGACCTGAGGACTTGAATTTAGATAAAAAAATATGACTGGATATCTCTCCATACCATAAATCATCTTAAAAAATCAGAGATGATTTTGTTTCATATCACGTGTTAACACAAACTATTGAACATGTTTCTAACCTTGCCCATAACGACTACAAAACCACAGCGAGCTTCTCGTCTGAGGGAGAAAAGTACACATAACCAGGGGCGTGTCCAGACGGGTGGCATGGGCCCCCCTTGAGATCTTATTTTGCCACCACACAGTCCTTAACTAGACCAGACTATCGGTTTCTTTGCCTTGCCGACGTGGGACTTCAGTTGAAATAAACTATTGAGGCCGTGTAGCAACAAGCCGCTCATAGTTTTTTTTGTTTGCAGATGATTGTTTGCAAAAAACTTTAATTTGTGACTTTGGAGAAACATATTGTTTTGTGTCGTTGAAGAATTAAGATTGTAGTTGTACATGCTGTTATTATCCTGTTTTACTTAGAAGTCGATGTGATTTGTGGAGAGAGAAGGGGTAAATAAATGTTCTTCATTCATGTGTGTGTGCACACAAACTTCCGGCCACCCCTGCACAAGTCAGCGTGCCTACCTAGTCCAAAAAGTCTGAACACGCCCCTGAACACAACAATCTGACATCTTTCTATCGGCAAAAATATCAAAACCCTGAAGACAGTTTCCACACAGTTTGCTGGACAGTCTTTGTCTCAACAAGGCTTCTTCTCCCGATCGCGTCTTTGAACTGCATGAAAACTGCTCTGCTGCAAACGAGTCAGAAGTTCTACAAAAAACAACAACCTTCTTGCTTCTTTACTTATAATTGGGAAACGTACAAAAAAAGCTCTAAGCTAAGGAGAACAGTATCTTCTAGGCCTTCTAGGATTTTCACTGACTAATCTATCACAGTGCATTCTGGGAGGCTTTGGAGCAGAACTATGCCACATGAAAATGAAACATGAACACGTAAGTTAAAAAAATAAAAGCCGGGCTCAAGTTTCCCAGTATCAATCGTTCTGAGATTTATTCTTGGTATCCGTCCAATAAAGTCAGAGATTCAGAGTACTTCCATATGGATATGCTCCTCGTCCACCTCTGAAACATTAAAATATGTTTGATGACTCATCCTGCGCTGGAGGGTGAATTCATTAATGCATCCAGTCAAATGCAATATGGGGCATCCAGTGAAGACTTCCCATTACACTGCATTTGACCGTTTGTGGGTCATAGTGGTTATCAGAGCGTGATCATGTAGAGGTGTGTGTTTGGATCTTTAAAAACCCCTGGAAAAAATGATGTCTTCTCCTTCCTGGCCCAAAAATTGAATACTTTAAACTCCAGCTGAAACAATTAACGGATCAGTTAAAAGACAATTCAAATTGTATTTGAATAGCACCAATTCACAACAAAATGTATCTTGAGACACTTAATAAAAGAGCAGGTAAAAGACCTTAACAAGAGAGAGAGAGAGAGAGAGAGAGAGAGAGAGAGAGAGAGAGAGAGAGAGTGAAGGTCTAAACTGCATATATACTGTACATTGGCAATATTTCACTACCAATATGTTGCCAATGTATTTGTGCAATTTAGACATTATGCAGGAATTTTCCAGCAATTTTTGGTATTTAAAATCAAGCGGTTACCCAATATTTAGTGCCTTGAACTTCTACAATTCATTTATCAGACGCTTTTATCCAAAGTGGTGAACATCAGAGAGTCAGAACAACAAAAGGATCTAAAGAGCAGGAAACAAAGACAGGAAGTTCAAACAAACAGCTTTAAATCTGATTGGACACACAGGTGCTGACAGGAAGTGACCAGAGGCAAAGCACAACATCGACAGCTGTTCTTCAGAGTTCTAATCAGCACAAAAACCCTCCAAAATAACATCATCATCATCATCATCATCATCATCATCAAGTTAGTAGGTGTTCATAAAGAGCTGGGTCTTTAGCTTTTTACTTAAAGGTGCAGAGGGACTCTGCAGATCACATGGAGTTTGGAAGTTTGTTTCACCACCGGGGGGCGACAGAGGAGAAGAGTCTAGTTAGAGACTTAGGACCCTGTTGTGAAGGTTGGACTTCTGTTTTTGTTGCCATGGTTTCGAAACAGGTGTTGACATTGTTTGATTTTTACGAGTACTGATTGAAAGTTTAAAGTTCTGGTAGTGTTACGACTCTACACACAGCCTGAATCAGAGCTGAGCATTATCGTAGTCTGCACTATCACATGTTTACAATGCATTATAATGTTTGAGAGATGTATATACTGTATGTTTTAAAAAGTGTTCAAGTCATGCTGCATAATGTTTAAACAATTCACATAGAAAAGGTCGACTTTCATATCAGGTTTTGGTATTTGATTTTTCTTTAAACAAATCAGTGTGGCTCTTCAAACACAGAACTTTAAGTGACCTTCTTCAGTATCACTGAGGGGGGAAAAATATAAAATGTTCCGGCCCTGCGTCACCCCATGAGAGGATAGCCGTTTGATCAAATAAGTATCTGAATGTCTATGGAGGTTTGAGTTTCTTTCCTCGAGTGAAGTCTGAAGCGTATTTGATGTCACAACGCTACAGTGGGACAGTTTGTGCATCAAAACACAGCGTCCACGGCCCAGCTGGGGGTGTGATGCTTTATATGAAATCTGAGAGGGGGGATACTAAATGATAAAGAGTCCAGCTGTCTGTGGAAAAAAAACGTTTTCAGCTTCACTCAGATGAGTCTCTTCTTTGTGGCAGAGACAATTCCTTGACAGAGTTCATGTCAAAGAGAAGGTAATTTATTTTTGGGTATGTGAGGCAAATCTGTTGGGTCTCAATTAGTGGAAGCGTCGGTGCCCCAATCTGGGACGAGAGCTCGTCAGATGGGTGTGCTTTTAAATAAAAAATCTTGCTTTGTGCAGTTTTAATTGAACCCCTCTGCAGCAGGCTTGCCTGTCAGATACGCGCATCAGTGCAGATGGCCTAGCGTTGACCTCCTGGCTGCGGTAATGTGTGTGTGTGTACAACAGAGGTTCAAATCAACAGCAGGAGACCGATGGACCAGAGGGAGCCCGGTTATCAGCTCAGGGGATGCCTGCAGGCTGGACAGCCTGGACAGGAAGTCTAGATCAGACTGAACCTGCTGCAGGCAGCGATGGACGGAGGAGCAACTTAATGATCTCAGGGAGGAGAAATACACTTCCTCCTATGTGGTGGGATGTCTGTAACTATTCAAACTTAACACAGCTTCATGAAGGTTCAGGAGGTGAGGATAAACGACATAACAAGATCACACAACACTGAAAGAATATTGTGATAAAGGTATAGTGATATATTCCAGTTTTTCTAAAGTGTCTTGTATTTTAAAGATTTTTTTTTAATCCCCAGGAGTTACAAAAAGTATCTTCTAGAACAAGGGTGTCCAAAGTGCGGCCCGAGGGCCATTTGTGGCCCGTGAGGGGATTTTTTGCGGCCCGTGACTTCAAATGAAGAATCAGAAGATTTTGGCCCGAGGCCTTGATTAAGATTGGCACATTATCTTATTTTTATTTTTCATGTTAACAAGGGCTGAACAATATTCCTAAAATAGAAAATGTTCAGTAACATGTTGTTGTTTTTTTTTAAATCTACAGCTTTTACTATTTTCCAAATTTTTTTGTAAACTATGAAAAAAAACTGAAGCAGAAAGCTTTTCCAAAAACATGAACCACGTCACAGGCTTGATTCTGAGAAACAAACAAATAAAGTAGAACGAAGAAATCTAGATATTTGATTTCCTTTTATTAAAGGGTTTCTTTAGCGAGCCTTTTGATTCTGATCTACAAAGCCTTACTACTTTTTCCACTATATTTTAAAAAACAAAACCTGTGGCCCGCGAGAAAAAAAGGTTTGGACACCCCTGAGATAGAAGATGTAGAACTGACTTTAAAGAGGTCAATGTAAATGAACAGGCTGATGTCCATCCAGGGTGCTTAACTCCCTGACATGCAGCAGACTTCACACTCCTTCACCTGAGTGACTCACATGTTTAATTAATGATATCAGTTTACCTTGTAGGACACCGAGCATCTCTGAGCCACTTCTTCAATGTCAGATGAGACCAGATCCTCCACTGCAACACAAGAAACAAAGTTTATCAACTCTCTCTCTCTCTCTCTCACACACACACACACACACACCCTCTCTCTCTCACACCACACACACACACACACACCCTCTCTCTCTCTCTCTCTCTCTCTCTCTCTCTCACACACACACACACACACACCCTCTCTCTCTCACACACACACACACACACACACCCTCTCTCTCTCTCTCTCTCTCTCTCTCTCTCTCACACACACACACACACACACACACCCCTCTCTCTCTCTCTCTCTCTCACACACACACACACACACACCCCCTCTCTCTCTCTCTCTCTCACACACACACACACACCCCCTCTCTCTCTCTCTCTCTCTCTCTCTCTCGCACACACACTCACACACACACACACACTCTCTCACTGACACACTGACACACTGACACACACACACACTCTCACACACTCTCTCACTGACTGACACACACACACACACTCTCTCTCTCTCTCTCTCTCTCACTCACTCACTCACTCACTCACTCACTCACTCACTCACTCACTCACTCACTCACTCACTCACTCACTCACTCACTCACTCACTCACTCACTCACTCACTCACTCACTCACTCACTCACTCACACACACACACACACACACACACACACACACACACACACACACACACACACACACACACACACACACACACACACACACACACACACACACACACACACACACACACACACACACACACACACACACACACACACACACACACACACACACACACACACACACACACACACACACACACACACACACACACACACACACACACACACACACACACACACACACACACACACACACCTGTTTTGATGTCAGCAGCTCGCAGGTCGCGGATTAAAGCCTCATCCAGTCCAGGACACATCCCCTCCCTCAGGATCACCATTGTGTCTCACGTTGTTCATTTATAAATCATCTTAGGGGATTAAAAGTTGTAAAGTTTAGCTGCATTAGCTGCTTGTTAAGCTACAGTTGTTTTTAGCTTTGCGGCTAAATCACTCCGCTAACTTTCGTGCTCGTTTTATCGGTTGGTGAAGATAATAAGAGTAATTTGCTGTAGTTGAGTTTAAAGTTGACGACGATAAAAACGTTAACTTTACACTAACAACACACTCACATGTCCAACAAAACTTCTCACACTTGGATCTCCAAACTACAGCTGTACACGCTGATTTGTTTCCATCACTTGGGCGAAGGTTTACATTTCCACCTCCGGCTCGCCGTAGTAAAGTTAACCCGCTATGCATTAAGGGTAATGTAGTATAACTCTCAAAGTTGCCGGTTACGGTATTTCTGATCAGATAAGTCATGAAAAAAAACATTTTGTACAGCTGTAAATTATGAACATGAACAATATCATACATTGAAGGAATGGTTCCAACCTTCAGAAACTCCCTGCTAAAGATTTTGCCTCCTTTTTGTTTCATTTCAGAAGGGACAGAGTATATTAATCAACATTTCTGTACATATGCCAGAGTTAGCCACAAGGCTAGTTTCCATCTGTCGTCCTTGGCCAGATTTTAGAATAGGCTCCCTACGAGAACAGGGACACAGACAGTAATTATGATGCAAGCAACACCTTACGAGGAAACATTGCTAAAACAAATGACAAATAACATGACAGCATTGGAGCGAGCAGGTAAGTAGCCACAGGTGTAAAATACATGAAGCATGCAGGACAGACGAGTCGCAGCAATTAGAAAATGTGAAGAAGTATACATGATGCAGGAGAAACATGGGGCAGCATTAAGCAGACATTAAAAACAATATATCACTGATATTCTCTTTAAAGGCTTTATGTGATTTTTTGATCCAGCAGATGTCGCCCTTGAGCACCAGCATGAAACCAAAACAACTCACGCTGCATTGTTGTGTTAGCATGCTAATGCTAGCGATCTTTATTATGCTGGTATCTTCACACTGCATGTAAATTTACCTGAAATGAGCGTGATCTAGAAACACAGTTAAGCAGTGAGTACAGTATGTTATTCTTCTTTTCTCTAGTCCCTCAATTAAACTACTTTTATACACGAGGGGAGGAGTCAGCCGGCCGTCCTGGCGATGTAAACAAAGTGAAGATAGGACTCTGAAAACTCTGAAAACATCACAGACAGTGGGACTCGGGTGTTACACCCATTGTAGACAGTCATGACTCACAGAGTTATTTTCAGAGGAGATACTTGATTTATATTATATTTAAGTGTGAAAAATCAAATATAAAGCCTTTAAGAAGTTTAAGTTGTTAGCAATAAAAGGGGGGGGGGGGGGGGGGTTGGATATCACCTTCTACCCTGAACAAAAATCAGTGCTTCCTGAAGTGTGGATTGGTCATGCTACTTTGGTCTCTGAGTGCACTTTAGATCAACTTCTGACCGCAGAATCCAGTGATTGTAAACCGGGTTACACTCTGATCCTGCAGCTCCTGAAGTCACAGCTCAGGTTGTTGCTTTTCTAAGTCGTCGCTGCTCAAACCTCCGACAGGTTTCTCTGTGAGTCTAGACTCTGTTCTGTGTGCTTCTTTGATTGCTGACATTTTGGAAATGGACTTGTGGGCTCGGTACACACTCTTTTATTTCTCAGCTGAAGTGTCCTTGAGCAACAAGCGGAGCCCTGCCAGCCGTCTCCTTTGTTATTTTATTTCTGCACCATAATCTCCTTTTTTAGTGTTCTATATTAGCTCGTAATTTTTTCTAATCTCCCGGTCGCTGCTGGTTAAATTGCTTCTTCTGTTTAAGATGGAAAACTTTTTTACACAATACCTGCTTTAAAAAACAACACTGGATTTTATTTGATCTGATACCCTGTGGGAGAAAGAGATACAAGAGAAAATAGGATTCTCTCAGGGATCAACAAAGACTCCTGTAATAACCATTTATATGCTAATATGGTTCTACACAAATGAATTGTATTAGACGTGTGGATAAAGAGCTGATACTGTGTTAATCGTGTGACTGTGTCTGCATGTAATGAAGTTCTACTCTGTGAGGGTGAAGTTTTGAATTCAATCTCGCGGCTGCTCTGTACTCTCCATTATTAAAGGCTTATTCTGTTTCCAGAAAAGTCCTTTGATTACTTCCTCCTGCTGAAGCACGGTGAACACACAGTTTGATGTAAAAAATACTGGCAATGCTCTGCATGTAAAGGTTTACAGCAAAATAATAAAAAATAAAAGAGAATATTAAAAAGTCAGAGAATATTAAAAAGTCAGTTCCTCATCTGACTACTTTTTGAAGGTGTCATCTTGGACTCTAAAGCATTTTTACCCGGTCTTGTCTCGGTCTAGGACTGGGTGGACTCCGGGTTTTAAATCAAGACCACCACTGATAGGTTTTTTTTCCCAAGTCATGACCGTGATAAGAAGGAAAACTGTCTTTCTAAAACAACCTTTCACCTCCCACCTGTGGCTTCTTTCCCGCATGTCATTCCCCACTCTCTCTCCCTGATTTCCGACTCTATCCACAGTCCTATCTATCCATTAACGGCACAAAAAGCCCAAAAATAAAAATATTTAAGAACCTAGTCTTGTCTCAGTCTCAGAGCACTCTGGTCTTGGGTAAGTCTTGGTCTCGGTTAGCGAGGTCTTGACCACTACCCATCTGACAGGGCCTCTCTGTGTGAGGTTCAACATTCATTTAATTTAATTGGCACCAACAACACAACAAAAGTTAAGCACAAAACATTTGTATTTCATATTATTAACACCTTTGATTAATGAAATGCACGCTCTGAATCCTGACATGTTTTGGAGCTCTTTTGACGACGGGATGGAACGCTTAATTTCTATGTTTAGAAGCCGGGATGTTTTTTTTGCGTTAGTATGGTCTTTGGACTGTGGGAGGAAGACAGAGAGAACCCACACATGCACCAGGAGAACATGCAGACTCCACACAGAGAGGCTCCTGTCTGACGGGGATTCAAACCAGGAACCTCCTCGCTCTGAGGCGACATTGCATATTGTTTATGCATGCCACAAAACTCCTGAAAACTTCCAGAAACTTTCAGGATGAGCTGCATGTGTGAGCACAAACAGTCTACTCTACCAGGAAGGAGCAAGGCACTTAAAAGGTTGTCGTCTTCTTTTGCCTGCAAACCAAACAGGGTTAATTATATCTGTTGACTGCGCTACGTGTATTTATTAAAGTGAAAGGATATCATGATACGGATTTTCAACGTCTTCTTTTTGGTAAAAAATCCTTGCTCTAAAGAAAGTCCAAACCTTCTCAGTAACATCTTCATCAAACCGTTTACAGAGACAGCAAAGCAGACCTGATCAAAGTCATTGATTTAAGGTGCTGCAAGTGAGTCAGAGAAGATCATTCTGCAGTCTGCATAGAGGTTACTTAAAAGGGATTTGTCTCAATGAGAGAGTTCACAGACCCCTCTGCTCAGAGGGTTGATAATATGTTGAGAAAAATGAAGAGGCAGCGCAACCTCTGCTCTACCTTCAACATCCCCAGTGAGCAGTGATAAATAATTCAACATGGAGTCTGAAAAGACTTCAAATGACTCCAACTTTTGATGTAGAAAGAGTCCACAAATACGACTCAGAGATTTGCAAATGCTGGAAGAGAAAACAACAGCTCAGCCCAAATGTTTTAACCAAATGGATTCTTTCTCATTTAGTGTCAGCTTCATTTACACAGAGCTTGTTTTTTTTCTGAAATATTTACCAAAGCCACCACAGTCATCACATTTCAAACCAATTTCACACTTTCTGGCTGAGTCCAGAGCGGTGTCTGAGGCGGTGTCAGCGACTAAAAACCTCCAAATAGAGGATTTTCAAATCTCTTCAGTGAAACATGTTACTATTCAAAGACTCTGAGAATCACTTCATGAAAGCTAAATCTCATTTAAAGCCAGAGTTAGTAATTTTCCAAAACTATCATGATTACATGATGATGACATTCCCTCAGTGCTCCGTCTACACCATAGACGTAAATATTAATGGACAAAGCCTGAGTGACGTCAGCCATCTGTTCCTGCAGGGGGCGCTGGAGGCTCATCAGCAGCAGCCGCCATGTTGGAAATGCTGTCTCAGTCTAAAAAAGCCTCCTGACAAACCGTTACATCACGCCCACCTGTCAATCACGCCAGCTACGCGCCTAACTATGTACCCCTATATCGTTCATAAAATCAATAAGGACGCGTTATTAAAAAATTCCCCTCCGTACAGTGTGTGACAGGGATGACAATAACCAATCAGACCGATTTGCATTTTTTGTAATCGGCTGTTAATTCATGCTGTAAAAACAGCTTTTTTTGACCAGTCATGTGTATGTGACTTCCGGGTTTTCCTGGAGCCAGCCTCTAGTGGACACTCGAGGAACTGCAGGATTTTACACTCCTGCATCGGCTTCACATTTTTCGACAAAGGAGGTTGCGGATTGGGGATAATGTTATGTGAGTGGGTTCAGGGGGAATGGAACCCAAACAGGGTGAAGGTGGTCTGGTCTCAACCTGAAAGGGTTTCTCCAGGATAAGGTACAAAAGGTTTCCTGTGTTTTACCCTCGTCCCTCCGTTGTTATCCTCTCCTTTCCCCTTTTCCCACAATAAACAGACCGTCAGGAAATTAAAAGGACTTCTTTCTGTGGACTGATGCAACTTCCTGCTTTTCTTAGTTATGGGCTGTTATTTCTTAAAGTCTTTATATGTGATTTTTCACACTTAAATATAATAGAAATCAAGTATATCCTCTGAAAATAACTCTGTGAGTCATGACTGTCTACAATGGGTGTAACACCCGAGTCCCACTGTCTGTGATGTTTTCAGAGTTTTCAGAGTCCTATCTTCAGTTTGTTTACATCGCCCGGACGACCGGCTGACTCCTCCCCTCGTGTATAAAAGTTGTTTAATTGAGGGACTAGAGAAAAGAAGAATAACATACTGTACTCACTGCTTAACTGTGTTTCTAGATCACGCTCATTTCAGGTAAATTTACATGCAGTGTGAAGATACGAGCATAATAAAGATCGCTAGCATTAGCATGCTAACACAACAATGCAGCGCGAGTTGTTTTGGTTTCATGCTGGTGCTCAAGGGCGACATCTGCTGGATCAAAAAATCCCATATAAAGCCTTTAACAGCGGTCTTCTATCAAAGGGTAGCAGACCGTTACTACCCATACGTAATTGGCCAATCAGAGTCAAGTATTTGAACAGTGTAATAAGCAGCTTCAGTGGTGAAGACTGTAGGTCGAGTTGTAATGTTTGTATCCAAAAGCT